CACTAGATGGAGACATGACCAGACATAGTGAACCAGGGTCTAACCCAGAAGTTCTCAAACCAAGGGGAGCTCCGCCCCTCTCGGGAAGCTCCACCCCCCACGGGAAAGCACAGAATATATTTGAAGGGGGAGGGGCATGAGAACCTTTAGGGGGGGAAAAAACCCCTTGCCGTTCTTATTTTATCCAGAGCAATGAGTAAACTAGCCAAGCTGATTTCTCCAGACCTCGGAGGACCACCAATGGCGCAGTGCCTTTGATGCTAGAGGGCGCTGTGCATGTCGACAGATTTCTCGTCAGCCCGCAGATCATTATACAAAGTCCTGGCCAGCGCTCGGTTAATCCATTTGCTACAATGCAGCCAGGCACGTTTGATGGGAAGGATCGGTCAGAACCACAGTGTGGCCTTTGCCTTTATGGCAGTGGGTTGTTGTCTCCATTTGAAGCAAGGCCTTCCTGCTTTTAATCTTCAGGGAGCGTTGCACATGGGTTGTTTTATCAGTATCTAAGATCATAAGAACCGCCGTACCGGGTCAGACCAAAGGCCCATCCAACCTAGTATCTGTCTGCCAACAGCGGCCAGTGACAGGTGCCCCAGAGGGAATGAACAGAACAGGTGGCCATCAAGAGATCTGTCCCCTGTCGCCCATTCCCAGCTACTGGCAAACAGAGGCTGGGGGTGTTTGTACAGTGTGGGCAGGGGGTGAAAAGTGCGACAGACACAAGGAAGGAGGCATGTTCAAATAAGTTTGAGACCCACAGTTCTTCACAGTCCCTATGTTGACTTCTGGCGTTGCTAATTTCCTCCTGGGCATTTCAGGCAGTTAGATGATCCCATAAACATTGAGACCCTGCCGGCTCACTGGCAGACAGGTCGTTAGGAACTGGCCTTTCCTGCTCCAGTACTTTAGGTAGACACCCCTGCAGGTGCTCGGCTTTGCTCCCCCCAAGCTCGGTGAGGCTGGGAGTGGCCGACCCCCAGGGCCAACCGTTGCAAAGCTTAGAGCCCAAGGTGAGTCTTTTCAATCTATATTTAGGCACCCAATGGCCTTTTTAGTGTAGGTGCCAGGTATATGCTGCTTCCATCCATGCCAGGGCCATCTGAAGCATGTAAGAAGCAATATTATCCGTCAGTGGCTCTCTCAAGCCTGTCTCTCTCCATTGAGACAGCTAATAGGGGTGCCTTTGAGTGTCAGTGGTGGAGTTGGCAATAGGGACATTTTTTCCATTGCAGATAGGGGTGAGACCATCCTCTCACTTTTCACAGGGGGGGAGAGTTCACCTCTCTTCCAGGAAGGACCCTGAAGCACCTCTCCAGCCAAAGTAGCACCTGCCAGAAAACTTGGGAATAAACTGACCATGACTCTGGAGCTCAAAGGGGCATCATGGTTGAAATCCAGTAACACAATCCACAGATATTAATGGATTTCACGGCACATCCACTAATGTGATCTATGCCATCAAATGCCAGCAGTGCCCCTCTGCCATGGATATTGGCCAAACTGGACAGTCTCTATGGGGAAGAATTAATGGACACAAATCAGATATCCGAAAAGGCAACACACAGAAACCTGCTGGAGAACACTTTACTCTGCCTGGGGCACTCATTAATGGATCTCAAAGTCACCCTGTTGTTTCAGGCCAATTCCACAAGCCAAATACACAGGGAAGTGTTGGAACTTAAAGTCATTTACAAGTTTGGGACCCATCACAAAGGTATGAATCAAGACATTACCTGGCTAGTTCACCACCTTCCACATCTTAGGGTGTGTCTAGATTACAGGTTTTTTTCGACAAAAGTTGGCTTTTGTCGAAAAACTATACCTGCATCTACACTACCACCGCGTTCTGTCAACAGTAAGTCGACAGAACGCGGCAGTTTTGTCGACAGTGGTAAACCTCGTTTTACGAGGAATAACGCCTTTTTTCAAAAGTATTCTTTCGGCTTGCTTTTTCGACAGAACTGGTTGTAGTCGAGACGTTCTTTTTCGACACAGGCTTTGTCGATAGTATCGACAGTTGTCGAAAAAGGCGTGTAGTCTAGACGTAGTCTTAATGACTTAACCCCGCATTTCTCAAACTGTGGGTCCCAACCCCCAGGGGGTCACGAGCAACTTAGAGGGGGGTTGCGAGCAACTTAGAGGGGGATCACGGTATCAAAGTTTGAGAACCAACCAATTGAGAACTTAACCAACCAAACAATGGGTACTTAAGAATAATTTGCACCTTCTTTATCAGCTTTGTGTAACATGAACACGGTAATTCACTCATTTTTTCCCCTTCCTTCTTCTCCCCCCCCCCATTTATTTTGGAACTGGACTTTTAATACTCCATTGATCTGAAGAAGTGGGCAGTACCCACAAAAGCTCAAGATACCATCAACATGTTTTTTTAGTCTTTAAGGGGGTTCCAAAGAGGATGGAGAGAGGCTGATGACAGAATGAGGAGCACTGGTCTCAAGTTACAGTGGGGGAAGTCTAGGTTGGATATTAGGGAAAACTATTTCACTAGGAGGGTGGGGAAGCACTGGGATGGGTTCCCTAGGGAGAGGGTGGAATCTCTATCTCTAGAGGTGTTTAAGTCTCGGGTTGACAAAGCCCTGGCTGGGATGATTGAGTTGGGGTTGGTCCTGCTTTGGGCAGGGGGCTGGACTCGATAACTCCTGAGGTCTCTTCCAGCCCTGGGATTCTATGATACCTCAGAGGGGTAAGTTTTCTCCGAGGACAGCCTGGGCTGGGCACAGTAAAACTGACATACACAGACAATAGTTTCTGGAAGGGCACTGGTGGGAAGAAACACGTGAGCCATTAAAGGGCTGAAATTACAGAGGGGAGCCAGTTCTGCCATCAGAGAGCCATGCTGTCTAATCAAGCATTGGAAATTTTTCATTGCTGGGCTGGTTAAGATCTAAACCCAGAGAGAGCTAATCAAAGAGCTGAACGGGGAGACAGGGAGTATGGCCACTCCATGAGGAATATCAAACATCTCTGTTCCACATCATTCTATCTCCCTGTTCCTTAATATCGGTTCTTTTCATCCGTCAGGCTCCCGCATCTGAAGTCTTTTGAGCACTCTCCCAGAGTACCATCTGCTTGCAAAGCAATTTCCTCTAAGTCCTTACAGGGTTGCAGTAATTCCTTCGTGCTAACGCTGATTTCTAACATCCTCATCAACGAAGCAATGAGTGTGGGGGAAACATATTGTATTTTAAATGGCCGCCACAGGCAATCAAGGCAGGAAATAACCATGGGAAAGGATGAGCACCGAGCTTCTCATCAGGGCAGAGGTAGGTGTACCAATGCAAACCCACCAACCACCGCAACATGGGTTTAATTCATAGCATAGACCCCCAGGAAAATAACTCCGGCTTGCCAACAAACATCCCCCCCGCAGATGAAAAAATATAAACCACATGAAGGGGTTGGACTCAGAGGAATGTCTAACTCTGAATATCTTCTGCTAGACTCTTTCTCTGTCCTAGTCCTATGACCCAAGGTTTCTCCTTGCAGACAGTGTTAATGCAAACGCTTCTGTGCTGGGAATTTCTAGGGAAAACAACAGCCAATCACGGTGATAAGAATTAGGGGGAAAAATTCACGTGAAACTTTTTTTTTCAGTGAAGAATGCAGATGTGGCATCGCCGAAATGCTTCGTGAATTCATGTCTGTTCCAATAGACGGCTCTGGTTGGAAAAAAAAAACAGTAAAAATCCTGAAAAAAGTCAAAAGGTATCATTTCAACCTTTTGTACATGGGAAGGAGTGGTTACTTCTTCAGCAACATCAACCGCCTGTGCCCTACACCCCCTGGTGCTCCAGGGTGGGTTTACACAAGGAGGGGTGGATTCAAGAGGGAAGAGAAGAGAAGAGCGAGGGGGGATTTGAGAGCAGCCCTCAACTTCCTGAAGGGGGGTTCCAAAGAGGATGGAGAGAGGCTGTTCTCAGTGGTGGCAGATGGCAGAACAAGGAGCGATGGTCTCAAGTTACAGTGGGGGAGGTCTAGGTTGGATGTTAGGAAAAACTATTTCCCTAGGAGGGTGGGGAAGCACTGGGATGGGTTCCCTAGGGAGGGGGTGGAATCTCCATCCCTAGAGGTTTTTAAGTCCCAGCTTGACAAAGCCCTGGCTGGGATGATTAAGTTGGGGTTGGTCCTGCTTTGGGCAGGGAGTTGAACTCAATGACCCCTGAAGTCTCTTCCAGCCTTAGGTTTCTATTATTCTATTATTCACCATTCTTCCATTACTTTCTCACCTCTGACAGCTGAAGGCAAGAACTCCAAAGCCGAGGGGAAAGGAGGGTGGGCAGGTAGTGGAGCAATCCATAGGGACATAATATCTCAAAGAACTCTAGGAGGAAAATAGGAAAGTTCCTGATGCTTCTCCTTTGAGTGTACATCACAATGGGTACTCCACCTTGGGCAATTCCCAAGCAGTCACTCAACATGAAAGAAGAAGAGGAGTCCACGCCAAAGCAGAGGATGCCTCACCAATGTCTGTGTTGGATATGGAAGTGTAGACGAGGGCATAGTGCCTAGTGAATGTACAGCCAGACAACTAGGGAGCAGTTCTGCAAATGGTACGTTCTTCAGCAGGGCTTCCAAAGTTGACTGAGCTCTGGTAAAATGGGCGGTCACCCTCGGTGCAGGGGGGAGGCAGGCCATTTCAGAGCACGCCAGGAAGCAGCCCCGGATCCATGTGGGTGGTCTCTGTGCAGCTAAGGTGTGTCTCTTCACCCTGTTGGGCAGAGATGAATCTAGGTGAGGAGCTGAAAGACATGGCCCTGTCAAGAATGAAAGCGAGGGCATCTTCTCACATGGAGCACAGGTAGGATGGCTCTTCCCTGGAAGACGGAGGCTTGAGATACAATAATACCCACAGTGAGAGATCCTGATTGATGTGAAAGTCCCAAGAGACTTTAGGTAGGCAGCAAGGGTGACGTCACAGTCACCTTGTCACAGTAGAACACCGTGTCCGGTGGGGCAGCCATAAGGGCTCCCAGGTCACTTACCTGTTTGGATGAAGTAATGGCTATGGGGAACACCTCCATCTAGGATAAGTAGAGACGACAGCTGCTTCTCATGAGCTCAAAGGAGGGTTTCCTCAAAGCTGAGGACTAAACTGTGATCCAGGGTGAGGGGTTGTTATACAGGAGGAAAAAGATTTGTCAGACCCGTTAAGAATATTATCGTAGTAGGGTGGGCAAAAAACAAGATTTCCTAGGTTGTTTGGTGAAGACAGGGAAAGCAGCAAGGTGAGTCTTGATATGGGTGAAAGATTGCTCTAGGGAGAGCCCTGCAAATTTGTGAAAAACCGCTTTATATTTCCGGGTAAAAGCATCCACAACTGTGGATGAAGATATCCCAAGCTCATTTTTGCAGCTACGGGTGCGGATACAAATTTTGTATCTAGGACAGTGGTTCCCGACTGTGGTCCACAGACCCCTGGGGGTCCATAAAGATACTGCAGCGGGTCCACAGAAATGAAAAAGCAAGGATCGGTGGACCTGATCCTTACTTTTCTTTTCCTTTTCTTCTCCCTCCAGCAGCTGTGCACACCATGTCCCAAAAAGTAAGGACATGGCTTACTTTTGATCTCCTTCCCTGGACCCTCTATAGAAAGGTCACAAACACGGAACAGATCACTTTACCAAGAATGGGGCAATGTCATCAGCTGAGCATGCGTGCTAAGGCTTTAATTCAATTAGTCTAAATAATGTGGTCGTCAACGTGTGTACATTTGTTGGCAGTTTTCCACTTAGGTCACTCAGCTGAATGCATGTATAAAAAATAGCTACCTAGAGCCTTGTTATTCAATGCGTGTTAATTGCCAGAAACCAAGGTGAGCCAAAGGAAATGGATCCTTGTGATGGGGCATTTCATCTGCCTTATGAAAATATGCCCACGGCTACAGCTGTGACATCACTGCATATACTTGAGGCGAGATACTTCATAGAATCATAGAACACTAGAACTGGAAGAGACCTCGAGAGGTCATCAAGTCCAGTCCCCTGCTCTCACGGCAGGACCAAGCACAATCTAGATCAGAGCTACTCAATACGCAGCCCACGGACCAGCCTGTTTGTTTGTGGACCGCGGTGCAGTTTGGGTTTGCGCAGGGCTCAACCCGTGGCCCGCAAGTGGGAGCCAAACCAAAAAAGTAGTCAATAGAATGGTCTTTTGTTGATATGCATTTTAGTAGTTAAATTCCAGGACTGCCATTGCTCATTAAAAGTGCTGTCATATGGGGGGAAATCAGGTAAATATTGCATTTTATTAATATCAGCAGAAGTGACTTAAATGGGGCCTGCGTGTTGTGTAGTCTTGCCTTAATCTTTGTATTCATGACCGTCAGTGTGAAAGAAGCTATTTGCATATATTTGCATATTTATTTGCATGTACAGCTGGTCCCCGAATTATGAATGCATCGACTTATGACCGTTCGTATTGACGACCATCCTTCTATACAGCCAGAACCCGAGTTACAAACAAAATCCGCACTTATGAACAGCACGGCCGCACGTAAGTGAATAAAATCCGACTTATGAACAGATCGAGTTACAACCTACTGTTTGGTACGTAACTTGTTCATAAGTCGGGGACCGGCTGTATATGTAACCATACTTAAGTTGCAGCCCCCAGCATGTGCTGTGAGTATCATTGTGGCCCCCAGGGATTCCAAAGTTGAGTAACCTTGGTCTAGACCATCCCTGACAAGTGTCTGTCCAACCTGCTCTTAAATATCTCCAGTGATGGAGATTCCACAACCTCCCTCGGCAACTTATCCCATGCGAGGCATCATTGGAAAAGTTGTAATCTACTGAATACGACTTTCCCGTTTGTATGCCGATATCATTTTTGTAGAACAACTTCAGAATACTGAACCGTGTATCTGTAAGTGCATATCTGCTGTTTTGGGTCCCTCCCGCTGACTATACTTCAGGGCCGTAATGGCGCATTAGTGGAGAGACAAAGGAGTTTAACCTTCCTGTAGACCTGAGGGTCAGCCTGTGAAGGATGGAGACAGGGGCCTTGCAGGGACATGGGATGGTGTCACCTGAGACTGGAATCCATCTTAAGCCCTGTATTTTTCTATGAGAAGCCGCGGAGGGGGTCAGACTGAAACAAAGGACTCCCGCCTTAGGCAAAGCCTATTTAAGGATGGGGAATGAGGTGATCTTGGCTGTCACGTCTCCCTGTCCATGACTGATGGACACAGCTGAGGCTGAACTAGGGTGTAACTGGTCATGACTCATTGCTACAGCGCCTCCTGCTGGCCACTCTGGGAATTGTCCCAATCTCGCCTCAGAGCACCCTCTCCTGGCGGCATCCCTCTCACTATTACCATTTTGTCTGTTCTCCTTCACTTGTCAGCATCTGCATCCCTCCCAGCCCACAGAGCCCTGCCCCATGGCATGCCCCACTCTCTGGGGTCCTCCCATACACCCACCTTGCCTCAGTGACCCATTGCTCATCGTCACCTTGGAGCAAACTGCATCGGAAATGGCCACTCATCGTTGGCACGGGGGTGTGGTCCTGTTGCCATCTCCTGCCCTGGCGGTGCCTCAATAGCCTTAGTACCTCGCTGTGCCTTTGTGACTGGGCCTCAGCCTGGTACTTAGTCAGGCTGGAGCTCCCCTGTCTCATCCTGCCTTCCCCCAGCACTGCTCTGTCCAAGGCACTCTGTGCTAGCAGACAGCGTAGGCCCTCTCCCTCCAGAGCTGAAGCAAAAGTGAGCCCCGCTCAGCCTTTTATAGGCCCCAGCCTGGCTGTGATTGGTTGACTGCTCCCCACCCTGATAGGCCGGAATTGCACAAGCCTCCTCTGACTTGTCTGTAACCCTCCCCCTGCTGGAGTGGGTTATGGTACCACTCCACGGGGGAAGCATTGGGCCCAGGCTGGAGGGCTTTCCCGGCGGGAAAGAAGCTTATTACAACAGCTCTGAAGATGAGACCCCCAAGAAGGCTAAGCGGCTTGCGTGAGGTCTCTCTGAGAGCCCAGCGTAACAAGGAACCGAACCCAGGTCTACTCATTGCTTTTCCTGTACAGGTCGTACCTCCCTTAACCGAGACTCTCTCGGACCACGGATGATCATGGGCCACGGAACCCAGCTATAGGGAGGTTGGGCCACAGGCCAGGAGCAGGAGGAGGGGCCGGCAACTCCACCAGGAACCCCATGTTGGGGGGGATGGGAAGGGGCGGGAGGTGGGCAGTAGCGGGGGGCTGGCCACGGCAGCTGTGGAGACCCAGTCCTGGAGCTCCGGCCCCGGTAGCAACCACAGAGCTCCAGCCTTGGGAGACACAGCCAGGCAGGCAGCAGCAGGGCCGGGCTGGAGCCCTTGCCTGGGGCAGCAGGGCCATGTTGGGAGGGACCTCCCCTGGTCTGGCAAATCCCCTTGTTCGGGATCCTGAGGGTGCTGGATGAAGGAGGTCCAGCCTGTCCTTTACCTTCTAAATACTAATACTGCCTCTCTTAGAAATCAATCCCAGGGCTCTTTGCATCGAACATAGTGTCCTTACCTGGCTCCGTTGCACCTGAGCATTGCGTGAATTCCAGGTCAGCAAAGGATCCTGCACATCACGTATGCTACACACGATGCTCACACATCACCGTGGGTATGTCTATACTACCATCCTAGTTCGAACTAGGGTGGTAATGTAGGCAACCGGAGTTGCAAACGAAGCCCGGGATTTGAATTTCCTGGGCTTCATTTGCATAAAGCCAGGGGGCCGCCATTTTTAAATGTCCGCTAGTTCGGCCTCCGTGCCCGCGGCTACACGCGGCACGGACTAGGTAGTTCGGATTACGCTTCCTATTCCGAACTACCGTTACTCCTCGTTCCACCTAGTTCTACTTAGTCCGTGCCGCGTGTAGCCGCGGGGCACGGAGTCCGCACTAGAGGACATTTAAAAATGGCGGCGCCCGGAAATATGCAAATGAAGCCCGGGAAATTCAAATCCCGGGCTTCATTTGCAACTCCGGTTGCCTACATTACCACCCTAGTTCAAACTAGGGTGGTAGTGTAGACATACCCCATGTGATGTGCACAGAGACACACCCTTCTTACACAGACTTTACACCCGCCTAGTGGAGAACTGCCAGGGAATCCCTCGTATGCCCATCGAGTCTCGCTGCCAGTCATGTCATGGGTTGAGCCCACACCAGTATGGATATGACAGTCAGCAAACTCTGTCCTTAATGCCTCCTTCCCCTGTTGGCAATCCTGCCTGGCACAGAATCCCAGCCAGACCATGTGGCTGAACCAGTTCCCCAGCAAACGAGAGCTGAGCTGCTCAGAGCCGTTCGATTTCTCAGCTGCCCTCGATCTGCTTGTTTCTTAACATGCACTGCATGTGCCTGGTAAACAAAACGTTCCTGCTGTGAATTAATAATCCCGGGCCCAACCTATAGGAAACCAAACAACTGTAGCAGGGAAAATCCAGAGCGTCGGGCATGCTTCGGTGGGCGAACCGGGCCGTCAGGCTGCATAGTGCTTGCTTGCATGTGCACATTCCATTTTTTATTTCAGCTAGGAGAACATAAAAGAACATAGGGGCAACGGAGCACCGTGTGCACTGTTAAATCAATCAAAAGGGTGCATGCTGTGAGCAGTCCAAGAATGTGTCATTACTTTGTCCAAGATCAAGAGAACATTACCCATTTTTTGCTTTGGATTAACCAGCCATGTGTCCCGTTACGTATAATCTGTATAATCCATATCTCATGGGCACTGTAAGGGTGTGTCTAAACTACATGGCTCCGTCAACGGAGCCACGTAGATTTGTTTGTTCGGCAAAGGGAAATGAAGCCGCGATTTAAATAATCGCGGCTTCATTTAAATTTAAATGGCTGCCACACTGAGCCAACAAACAGCTGATCGATCAGCTGTTTGTCGGCTCAGCGTGCTAGTCTGGATGCTCCTGCGCCGACCTGAAAGCCTTTTATTGACCTCCCCGTTATGCCTCGTAGGATGAGGTTTACCGGGGAGGTTGATAAAGGGCTTTCATGTCGGCAGGGGAGCGTCCGGACTAGCGCGCTGAGCCGACAAACAGCTGATCAGCTTTGTCGGCTCAGCGCGGCAGCCATTTAAATTTAAATGAAGCCGCAATTATTTAAATCGCGGCTTCATTTCCCTTTGCCGATCAGCCTAATCTACATGGCTCCATTGACGGAGCCATGTCGTTTAGACACACCCTGACTGCCCTGGATGGTAATAGGGATGGGGTTCCTCTGGGAAAACATGAATTATACTGGTTCTATGTGTGTTATGTGCCATAGATGCCAAGATACATTTTTAAGTGTGAGCGCCCACTATCTTCATCTTGTCTGACTTTTTTACCAGAAGTTGGCAATGGGGACAGATCATTAGATGATTCCCTGTTCTGTTCCTTCCCTCTGGCTGTGTCTAGACTATGGAGTTTTTCCAGGATACTGGAGGTATCCCAGAAAAATAAAATCATGTCCAGGGAACGCATCTCCGCGTCCGACACTTTTTGCGGAAGAGCAGACACATTCATGTGGAAGTCCTGTCTTCCTCATTTCACGAGGAAGAAGGGATCTTCGGAAAGAGGAGGTTTTTCTGAAATTTGGCCCAGTGTAGACGGGCCAAATTTCGGAAAAGCCTCTTTCGAAAAAACAATCAGAAAAAAGTACGCAAATTGCGGAGCACAATGTGCGTATCTTTTTCTGAAAAAAAGTGGCAGTCTAGAAGTAGCCTCTGAAGCATCTGGCACTGGTCACTGTTGGTGGATGGGATACTGAGCTCCACGGACCACTGGTGTGACCTAGTATAGCTGTTTTTATCTTCTTACAACCTCTGTTGTGATAACTGGGCCCACAAATTTACCCTGCTCTTGAGTTTAACTGTGAACAGTGAGTGAAAGTTCACAACACATCCCGACAACCTCTAACGCTAAATGTTGGCAGGGGAAGAGATGCCAAAGGGAGACAAGCCGACTGAATTAGTCTAAACAAAAGGACTAGTGACCTAACTCATCAGCTGCTTTGAGAATATGCCTGGCAAACAAGAGGAGTGTGGAACCAGGAATCAATGGACTAAAATTGGTACATCAGACATTAGGCCTAATTGGTGAAGACAATAAGTTGGGCTTTTCCTCCTATTCCTCCCTTTTGGGATCCTCCAAAAGAGACTGGAAGGGTGATGGGGGGAGGGAAATTGGAGAACATTGGCTCGCAAAAACATAGAACCTCACCATGAGATGTCCTGACCAGACCAAGCTCCACAAAGAAAAATGGAGATACACCTATCTCCTAGAACAGACCTTGAAAGGCCATGGAGTCCAGCCCCCTGCCTTTACAGCAGGACCAAATACCATCCCTGATAGATTTGTCCCACATACCTAAATAGCCCACTGAAGGATTGAACTCACAGCCCTGGGCTTAAGCAGGGACCAACACTCAATCTACTGAGCTATACTTCTCCCTGAGGGATAGCTGTGACATTGCCACATCTACTGACCCAGATTAATTTTTAACCTCTCCAGTCATCTGAAGAAGTGGG